TAGCCCGGGCAGTTATGGGGATGATGATGTCATTATCTGGAGAGGATACGTTACTTGGGCCAAAGCCATAGGCCAGAGCCCAACCTCTGATGAAAGTACAGAAGCATGTTCTGTCACCACCCTTCACTATTCATTCCCCACTTGCTCTGTTGCTTTTTTGGGCTTGGGTGAACATGCACTAATTGGCCACTGGAAAAAGGCACTTAGGGGAGTTAAGAGGCAGCCAGGCTCTCCACAGAGCCCTACTGAAAAAAGAAAAAAAAAAAAGGCCTTCATAAATCACAGTATCAAATATGAATGGAGCCTGAGAAGCTACCAATGCAAACCTCCTGCTTCCTGGAATTGAATCATATCAGAGGGGGCTATTTAAACTTTTCTTAAAACAGCAAAGAAACCAAGCAGGGTGAAAGGGAGCTAGATGCATCTGAGTTTAATCCAAGAATCCTTTAAGAGTACAGTTTAGTGATTTCTCAAAGTGCAATCAGCCAAGGATGGACTGACACCATGTCCAATCAAAGTGAAATCTAATAAGTAGCCAATTTAAGTTTGGTTTTCACAGTTAAAAAAGAAGTAATATTCACAACTTCTGAGTCTGCTTATTAACTAGTGGAAGATAAGTCAAAAAAAACAATAAAACCATAATTTTCATTTTAAAGAGAAAAAGTGAAAGAAAAAAAAGGCAACATACACTTTCCTTTACAAATGCTGTAAAGCATGTTGTAATGGAAAGAGTATTTGAAACAGAAGGTCACCTGGATTTTAATCCCAACTCTGCAAATAATTTGAACGCTGACTGGTGACTAAGTATACCACTTATTGTCCTTAATCTTAGAAACAGAGATTAAAGAGATACGGCATGTAGGGCTTCCCTGGTGGCCCCAGTCCAGGAAGATCCCACATGCCGCAGAGCGGCTGGGCCCGTGAGCCATGGCCGCTGAGCCTGCGCGTCCAGAGCCTGTGCTCCGCAACAGGAGAGGCCACAACAGTGAGAGGCCCGCGTACCGAAAAAAAAAAAAAGAGAGATACGGCATGTAGAATTTATTACAATAAAATGTGAAAGCAATTAGGAATTATTAAAAATACTACAGAGGGGAAGAGTACCAATGACATCATTATCAACTAACCCTGCTAGCAAAACAGTACTGTTTAACCAGAACTATAATGCACTACTTAACACAAAAAGAAATTCCACTGGAAGAATTTTCAAGATGTTACGTATGTTAGGCTGACATACGTTGTAACATTCCAGCATACTCAGGCACTTCAAAGTTTTTTGTAAGTAGCCTGAAACGTGGGAAAAAAAAAAAAAAAAAACCTAAATATTTCTTATAAGATACTATAAGAGATTTGAACTGCAGATCTCTGAAAATGCAAACAGCAGCTTTTATTTCATTTTGACTATCCAGTTCTCATTTGAAGGGGCCAAAAAGAAAAGGCATCTCTGAATCGGGTCTATAACATGTCATAATGATTCTTTAATCTAGATTTTTAGAAATGAAGGAAACTCAGGCCACATCCAAAGTCAAAACTGGTACACCATGTTGATCCTTATATCCTGGCCCTTCTTCACAGCTATTAATGAAAGAAACTGATATTTACTAAGCATAGATGTGAAGCGATGAATCAGATACTTTACATTCACTGGATTATTTCATTCCAACAACTCTAAAGAGATAGGTATTTCTATCCCAAGCACATAAGAAAACTGAAGCTCAGAAAAGGTAAACAACTCATTCAAAATCACACAGGTAGCAAGCATCAGAATTGTGACTCCGACCAAGATCTGAGACTCAGCTACTCATCTTCCTTCTATAACATGCAATCCTCAGGTATACTTACATACCCATCCTCCTACCCCACAAATAAAAAATGATGTTTCCTCTAAAAGACAAACAACAATAGTGGCAAATAAATGTCAGGGAAGGGGAAACAATGAATTACTAACCTATTAATAATATTAGTATGGAATATTAAATTCTCATATTGATTCACAATAAAGGTAGAATGGGTATTATCATTTGTTTACATCTGAAGAAATAAAAGCTCAAGAGAAGTTATATACTTTCTTGCAAATTAAAAAAAAAGATACTACCATATTCTAGAAAAGAGCTTTATAGTTTCCAAAGTGTTTTTTTACCAGTCCATACAGCAATATACAGCAATCCGATCAAGCAAATATTTATTAAGCAATGACCAGGATTCATTCTAGGAGCTTGGGAAACGTGAGTGAAAAATACAGGCAGAGATCCATACCCTCATGGAACTTACATTATAGCAGGGGAGACAGAAAATAGGTAATATATATAAATATAAATAGAAAAGTAGAATAAGAGGGTTTGGGAGTATCAGAAGAGGAAGAGCAGGCTGCAATTTTAAATAAGGTAGTCGGGATAGACCTCCTTGAATAGGTAACATTTGAGCAAAAATTTATAGGCATAAAGGAATTAGCCACACAAAGTATCTGGCAGTATAATGTTCCAGGGAGAGGAAATATCCTGTCCAAGAACCTAAAGAGAGAGCGTGCCCTGTATTCTAAAGGAACAGCAAGGAGGTCTGTGTAGATGCAGTGAGGTGAGGGAGAAGAGAAGCAAGACTTCAACCTGGAGGACGAGAGGGGGATAGATCCTGTAGGGCCTTGCCAGGACTTTGGGACCTGGAGAGACATGGGGGAAGGGGAGCAAAAAGAAGAGTGACATGTTCTGACTTACCTTTTACAAGGAATATACTGTCAGCTCTTGAGAACTGACTAGGGGTGGGATGGGGGGATGAGTTAAACCAGGGATACAAGTACAGAAGACTAGGCAGTAATCTAGGCAAAAGATGTTGGTAGCTTAGATGATGGAAGTTACGCAGATGGTGAAAAGTGATATTCTGAAGGCAGAACCAACAGAATTTGCTAACAAACTGGATACTGGGTATAAGACGGAAGAGTCAAGGATGACTCCAAGGCTTTTGAACTGAGAGGCTAGAAGGATGGAGGCTCCATCAGCTGAGATGCAGAGGCTGTGGAGGTGGAAGAGACTTTGGAGAAAATAAAGGAGTTCAGTTTTTGACATGTCAGCCAGAGATGTCAAGTGGGCTACTACATATAAAAGTCTGAGTTCAGGACAGAGGTCTTTAAAATTTGAGAATTTTAAAACATATAAATAGGGTTTAAAAGCATGAAATTCAAACTTCTCAAGCTGAAAAAGATCTTTCATGCAAGTCACCCTCATCACTGTTGAAGATAAAGGCTAAAGAAATGCAGTGATATGTCCAAGGTTAGACACATATAAAGCAACTGTAACACAGCTGGTATTCTTTAGCCTGGAATTTTCTTGAGAACACTGCATTGACATCTAGCACAATAAATAAAGGATTATTCTTTGAAGGCTAAATAAAAGGGGTTCAACTTCCAGAAAAGACTCCCCAAAAACTGTGGATAAAATATGGAACCACTGTCTCCCCCTTTTCTTAAAAAGCATTATTGAAAGATGTGAAATGTATAGTTTGAAGACAGCCTCTTCAATAAGTGGTGCTGGGAAAACTGGACAGCTACGTGTAAAAGAATGATATTAGAATACTCCCTAACACCATACACAAAAATAAACTCAAAATGGATTAAAGACCTAAATGTAAGACTAGACACTATAAAACTCTTAGAGGAAAACACAGGAAAAACACTCTTTGACATAAACCACAGCAAGTCCTTTTTTGACCCACCTCCTAGAGTAATGAAAATAAAAACAAAAATAAACAAATGGAACCTAATGAAACGTAAAAGCTTTTGCACAGCAAAGGAAACCATAAACGAGACGAAAAGACAACCCTCAGAATGGGAGAAAATATTTGCAAATGAAACAACAGACAAAGGATTAATCTCCAAAATATACAATCAGCTCATGCAGCTCAATATCAAGAAAACAAACAACCCAATCAAAAAATGGGTGGAAGCCCTAATAGACATTTCACCGAAGAAGACATACAGATGGCCAAGAGGCACATGAAAAGATGTTCAACATCACTAATTATTAGAGAAATGCAAATCAAAACTACAATGAGGTATCACCTCACACCAGTCAGAATGGCCATCATCAAAAAATCTACAAACAATAAATGCTGGAGAGGGTGTGGAGGAACGGGAACCCTCTTGCATTTTTGGTGGGAATGTAAATTGACACAACCACTATGGAGAACAGTATGGAGGTTCCTTAAAAAACTAAAAATAGAACTACCATGTAACCCAGCAATCCCACTACTAGGCATATACCCTGAGAAAACCATAATTCAAAGGACACATGTACCCCAATGTGCACTGCAGCACTATTTACAATAGCTAGTTTATGGAAACAACCTAAATGTCCAATGACAGATGAATGGATAAAGAAGATGTGGTACACATGTACAATGGAATATTACTCAGCCATAAAAAGGAACGAAAACTGGGTCATTTGTAGAGATGTGGATGGTCCTAGAGGCTGTCATACAGAGTGAAGTAAGTCAGAAAGAGAAAAACAAATATCGTATATTAACGCATATATGCAGAATCTAGAAAAATGGTACAGATGAACCTATCTTCAGGGCAGGAATACAGACGTAGAGAAGGGACATGTGGACACAACGGGGGGGCGGGGAAGGAAGGGTGGGGCAAACTGAGAGATTAGGATTGACATATAAACACTACCGTGGGTAAAATAGATAGCTAGTGGGAACATGCTATAAAGCACAGGAAGCTCAGCTCGGTGCTCTGTGATGACCTAGATGGGGTGGGAGGGAGGGGATATATGTATACATATAGCTGATTCATTTCACTGTACAGCAGAAACTAACACAACATTGTAAAGCAATTATACTCCAATAAAAAAATTTTTTAATAAAATATATATAGTACATTGTAGGCACTCCATAAATGTCTAATAATAAATGAACAAATTTGCTGTGAAACAGTCTAAGCTTACTGTGACTATCTGACAATCCAAATCCACTCATCAAAGTGGTTACAGTTAAATATTTTTACTTACCTGATATTTAAGCCAATGAAGTTTGTCCATGTGAAAATGTAATCTCCACCAAAGACCATTCCGATATAAGTTATTAATATATTCTAAAAAGAAAAATGGCAATATACTGTTTCATAGGTTTAACTGAACTTTTTCAATATTCATATAAACTCATCCATACAAAGACACAAACATATATCCTTAAAATACAAAAACAAATAAACAGAAAATAACAAAAACCCAACGACCCTAAAATGAGTGTAGTATGAGCATGAACATTAACTAATTAAAAAACAATGACATCAGTCTCTTCCCAGTCTCTCTCTGAAAGCTAAATGCTTTCACCAATACTAAAGAATACTAAAAAGATTATCAAACTTTCCCTGCCCTGTGGCACACACTGACATTATCAATCTAGATAGAAAAGCACTGCTCTTACTAGGGGCAGAAAACACCAAGGCACGTTTAGCAATCTCAGAGAAGAGTGCTTCTTTCCTCCCGCAGAGGCAGCAGTTGACTTGCCAGGGGAGAGTGAAGAAGGAAAATCTGCTTACATGCAAAGCATCTTTCCCTCTTTCTTGAAAAGGAAAGAAGGGATGGTGGGGAATTTACCAACTCAAAGACTGTTTCTAGAGCAATCTTCCTTGGCACCTTAAAAAACCACAGGGGAAGTCATCTCAAAGTAGCGTACCTAAAATCACCTCTCCCAACTCCCTTAAACTCCCAGGTGTAAACATCTTCTGCTTATCTCACTCCCTTTTTGGCTTGTGAGATCTTAGTTCTTAGACCAGGGATAGAACTGGGCCCAGGGCAGTGAAAGCGTCTGACTCCCTTTTAATTATCCTCAGACCGTAAAGGTGAAATAAAGTTTTCCAGGGCTTCCCTGGTGGCGCAGTGGTTGAGAGTCTGCCTGCCAATGCGGAGATCCCACATGCTGCGGAGAGGCTGGGCCCGTGAGCCATGGCCGCTGAGCCTGCGCGTCTGGAGCCTGTGCTCCGCAACGGGAGAGGCCACAGCAGGGAGAGGCCACAGCAGTGAGAGGCCCGCGTACCGCAAAAAAAAAAAAAAAGTTTTCCGAAGTTTCATCTCTTATTCAGTTCTTCCCTAACCTCTCTTCTTTCACATTTAAGTCACTGCCTCCCTCTGTGCTATTACAACTGCCAGAAATGGTAAATGTCACAAATATTTTTAGTACCTGGGCTCTCTACGATTAGACCTGTGAAGCAGAAAGTATAGTGCCATACTGTTTTAAGAAGCCAAAAACAAACTTCAAAATTATTTTTTTAATGGAGTATGCTTTGAGAGAGCACTCAAAATTATGTCAGCCTCTTCTAGGTCTAAGGATGGAGACAGAAAGTTACTTTAGAGCACATTTTCTTATTATTTGAGAGGACAAAAATAAAATTAAATACCATGTAACAGTAAACAAGGCTGGTAGGCAACTTGGGGAAATGTGTAACAAGACCTCTTGGAATACAGAGATCCAGGGAAAAGAGAGATTAATTTGCATAAACTGCCCAAGGAATTTCAGAAAGGGAAAGGACAGAGAACTCAACCCTTGTTGCTCAAAATCAGTCAGAAGTTAGAAAAACTTTTTTTTAAATATTTATTTATTTATTTGGCTGCACCAGGTCTTAGTTTTGGCATGCGGGATCTTTAGCTGTGGCATATGGGATCTAGTTCCCTGATCAGGGATCGAACCCGGGTCCCCTGCATTGGAAGCACGGAGTCTTAGCTACTGGACCATCAGGGAAGCCCCAGAAGTTAGAAAACCTTCAAGTATATATTAGGGTATACTAACCAAGGTTTTCTATCAGAAAAGACACTCATGCTCCCAAAGTAGAACTTACCAGGAAGCACAGAAGAGTCTGCGCTGGTAGCTCAAAACTAAAACCGCAATCTCAGCCTTTAGCATACCTGAGACTCAGCTGGAAACCCTGATGATTTCCACGCCCTACTTTAGAGATTCTGATTCAATACATCTGAGGTGAGCCTAGGAATTTCCATGTTTAACTAGCTCTCCTAAGTAATTTTCCCACCACACTCAGGAGAAACAAGGAATGCTGACCCGGGGTTTATGGGGTTAGGATCCTCAAGCACAGAAGGAAGCTTGAAGCCTGCTGGGGAACACTAACTGAGCTACAAGGGTTGTAACTGGGAGGCTAATGAAAGAAGCTCCACTGTGGCCTGAGACACTCCAAACCAGCAAGGACATCAGGGTACTCCCATCTGTCTGAAGGTATAAGACATCCTTTAATAGCAATACCACATGGCTGTGAGAAGCAACAGCAATTATAAACCACAGCTGACCCTTGAACAAAGCAGGGGTTAGGGGTGCAGTGGAAAATCCGACTGTAACTTATGGATGGCCCTCCTTACCTGTGATTCAGCATCTGTGGATTCAACAACCACAGATGGTGTAGTACTGTAATATTTACTACTGAAAAACATCCGAGTATTAAGTGGACCAGAGCAGTTTAAACCTGCATTGTTTGAGGGTCAACTATAATCAGATAATCCATTTTTTCCCCTCCCTCTAGAGTTTGGAAGTAAAACTGCTCCCTTTGGACTAAGTTCATACAGTTCTGTGGGGAGGAAGAAATATCAAAAGAAAAGTGCTGGACTTTATGTTAATGAGAGCATGACTGTATTTGTACCCCATGCTAATAATGATAAAGAACGTACACTAAGAAATTCTGAGCAAATAGGTTTAGTTATCTGCTAAATGACTTTCCCTCACCATCCTTCTTGGTTAAAAACATGGCACCAACTGTTCTGTCTCTCATGTTCTTACTGTTTTTTATTCTGAAAAGGCAAGTCATCTACTTTGCTCTTGAAGCACTCACTTTACAAAACCCGAAACAGGGCTGAGAGCTAATCTGGGGGCTGAAACTGTCTCAGCCAGGCCAGGCCTTTGAATGCCTATCTCTAGCTTTCACGGGAAGTCACACAACTGACTTGTTATAGTTTAATTTAGAATTCTATTCACACCAAACACTCCAAATCCATGATTTGAAGACACAGACCTTCTGAAGTTTTAACCCAAATCTAGTTTCTAAAATGAGGTCAGGCAGACACAACTCCACTGGGGGTGTAAAGGGAAACATAACAGAACAGTACAAACCTTGCCTCTGCAACCCCTTCCCTCGCTATTGACAAATGGGGCACCAGAAAGTTAAGTTCCAAGGGCAACTGCCCTCTTTCCTCCAAATGATCCAGGACCTACCTCTATCTTGCTTTTCTTAGAAAGCAAGCCTACCTCACTAATCCTTTTGGAATTCAGGGATGCTGTGGCCTCTTCGATCTTAAAGCACCAGAATCACAAAGTCCGATGAAAGAGACCTCAGGCTTCAAGTCACTAACTGCAGCTCAATATTCAAGTCAGCTTGGCTCTCCTGGCTGAAGACAAATGAGCCTCCCTCAAATAAAATGGATCAGGAGGAAATGACATCACTGGAAATGTCAGACACAGCTTTTAAAAGTGGGCCATTTAAGGTTTGGCTCACGCTTAGGAAAACTCCCTTGATTAGCTTTTGGCGGGCATCCTTTTCCTACAGAACAGCCAGAACTCAGCGAGGCAGAGAACAATTCTCATTGGGAGTTAAAGGGACAAACCTATCAGTACCAAGCTAGTCACCTGCTCTGTGAGAAACAGGGCTGACTCTCCTTCCTCTGCTCTGAGATGACACATTCTCCTTTTCCCATACTCCTCAGACCTAAGTTGCCTGGAAGTAGAGATGATGCTTTCCCTGAGTTCTTAAGGATTGTTCTAGAAACCACCCCACAAGTCGTCAAACTACCAAGGCAACACATGAGGAAATAAGAATGATGGGGCTTAAGGCCACAGACAGACTTATTTTAGAGGAACACTTTTCAAATAAAGAAGGCACCCAAAAGAGAACAGTATTTTTTCAACTCACCTTAATACAGCCAACTATTGTAGTTGTAAGAGCAGAGTTATACTGAGTGCAGAGTACTGTGGCATACATCAAGATAAATCTGGAAAAAAGAAGGAAAAGGTATCTTATAAGTAAGATTCAACTGCTGATTGTATAATAACCTCTAGCCAAGAGAAACAGCATTGACCACGCCAGTACATTCTACTAGTCACTGACTGACTGTGAGCTTTCCCTACTTCACTGCTGCTTATACTGCAGCTTCAGATTTTTTTAAAATTTCATTAAAGAGAAACACATGTACATTTAACGATCAGGTGCTTTTCCCAGCTACCGCACCAAACCCTTGAAGCCACCATTCACAATCATGAGTACTCTTTTTAGATCATAGTCTTAATTCACCTCACCCAGATAGAAAGCTCAGGACTCACAGACCCTGGCTCAGGTGTGCATGTCACCATGAGGCCAATATGATTCCAGACCAGGGTGAAGGCAAGAGAGATTCTTAAGGATGGAAGAAAAGCAAATGAGAACTACTTTAAGAGGGGATATAGTTCACTTAACAACAAAGTGGCAGCAGTCAGCAGCCCCAGATTTTACAATGAGGCTTCGAAGCCTGACTCAGTACCAAGGTATCATGTCAACCTTATTTTGAAGCATCCAATCACTATGTACCTAGCCTGTGCCGGATCTGGTCACAAATATCGAGTGAAATGACTGGTTGAGGGAAAAAAGCATTAGGGATATTTGGAGGTGAAGAGAAGAGGCAGTTAACAGCACATTTGCAGATACCCTCTTGCCTTCTACAACCTGGCAGGGAGAAGTCAGTCCTAAATTCAAAGGCTGCCACTGCTACCTACTAATTCTGCAAACTTAGACAAGTTACTTGAATTCTGGGCCTGCTTTCTCATAGGTAAGGGGACAACAATATCTGTCAAATGGTCAATGTAGAAATAAAATTAAATAATGCATGTTGAAATATAATGGTGCTTATCACATACTAGCTTATTGGGTAAATATTAGTTTTTTTCCTTCATCCTTCTAAGCATGACTTTGAGATCAGTTTGGTAGCCCTGAGGGCACATTCCCAAGGGTGGTGAAACCACTTGAATCTGGAGGTTTATCCTAAGCTGATACACTCAAGAGACAGAACAGGATACTAAGGAATGAGGCAAAAAGACGCTAGAACAAATCTGCCTCGAAAAACTATCTGTTAACAAGGCAGCAAAGGCTTACCCCATCACACAAGAGAGGGTGAACTGCAGAAGAAAGAGGGTGTCGGCCCAGCCTTCAAAATCCATTGCCTGTAATACACAAGAAAGCCCAGGACTTTAGAGCAGGCTCTCAACATCAGCTGTTCCACTCATTAACCCAAGTCCTGTGCGCCTGCTCCCACCACACTCTGACACATACATACATTTCCCTGCATCGCTCCAAGCATAGACAGTGACGTTCAAGAATGTCATATACATGGAGCTGAATCAACAAGCAGTTTTGTAAGGTTTTCTCCTTTCCAAAATATGTAAGGTGAGGGAGCTTTTGTACTTCTCCCTGTTGGTACAAGGAAACTGATATTTGCTTGAAGGCACAAGCCATGTCCTACTAATCTCAGCAGTTCTCCCAGATGGCTGGTATTAAATAAAGGCTTTCTCAAACCTTAAAATGTTATTTCTTCCCTGTAACGTGCGAAAGCTCATGTACAGCCTTAGTTACACAAATTCAGCTGAGGTCTGTCCAGGAAGAATTCCTATTTTAAAACAGTTGATTTTGTAAAAGCAAGATTTCTGTTGTTCTCTTTGTTTTGAAGCCAAAAGCAAAGGAATGAATAGAAATGACAGGTGCATTGATCATCTCATTTCTCATCCAATAGGGAGGGTTTGTCTCTCAAGTACATAATTTCTCTTGCAATACGAGTTTGTCAGGCAAATGTGAGAAACGCTCCACTTTTTCCCTCTCTGCCAACCTGTCCAGCTTCAACTCTTACCACTTCAACATAAATCTCACAGCACCAGGGCTCCAGCAATACCAGGCTCCTTGTGGTTTATAAAACGTAACCTGCAGTTTCAAACTCACATGCCTTCGCCTGGAATACCCTTCCCCTCTACATTCATCTGACTCCTGCTCCCCCATCAAACTAGAAGCCAAGCAGCTCCTTCGTGGGGCTTTCCCAGATCAAGAACACCTTCCTTTGTGCTTCATCAGTACTTCTCTTTAGTGCTCTTATCTCTCTGAACTGCAAATCTTTCTACACCACGTCTACAGACTGTGAGCTCCCTGGTGGAACCACATCAAATTAACTGAATCACATTCCGAACACAGCATTTGACAGAGAGTAGACATTCAATTTGTTTATGGTTCTTTGTTGAGGCGTAACATATAAAAAATAAAATTCACCAATTTTAAGTATGTAATTCAATGAGTCTTGAAAAATATATAGTCATGAAACCACCATTACAGTCATGATAAAGAAATTTCGTTCTAAAACCATGAAACCTAGAAGAGAACACAGGGAAAAGCTCCTTACCACTGTTCTTGACAATAATTTTTTGGCTATGACACCAAAAGCACAAACAACAAAAGCAAAGATAAGAGGGACTACATCAAACTAAAAGATTTCTGCACAGCACAGCAAAAGAAACCGTCAACAAAATGAGAAGGCAACCTACGGAATGGGAAAAAATATTTGTAAACCATATATCTGATAAGAGGTGAATAGCCAAAGTATATAAGGAACTCATATAACTCAACAGCAAAAAAAAAAAAAAAAAAAAGCCAAACAACCCAATTAAAAAATGGGAAAAGGAAGTGAGTAGACATTTCCCCCAAAAGGAGGCACAAATGGACAACAGGTACATGAATCAACAGAAAGACGCAAATCAAAACCACAGTAAGCACCCCACACCTGTTAGAATAGCGGCCATCAAAAAGACAAGAGATAACAAGTGCTGGAGAGGGTGTGGAGGAAAGAGAACAGTTGTGCGCTGCGGGTGGGAATGTAAATTTGTACAGCCAAGATGGAAAACACACACACAGACACATACACAATGGAGCATTATTTAGCCATGAGAAAGAAAATCCTGCTTTTTGCAACAACATAAATGGACCTTGAGGGCATTATGCAAAGTGAAATAAATCAGACAGAGAAAGACAGACACGGTCTGATCTCACATGTAAAATCTAAAAAAGCCAAATTCACAGAAACAGGGTGAATGGTGGTTGCCATGGGCTGGGGCTTGGGGGAAATGGTGAGAGGTTGGTTTTACAACTTATAAGATGCGTAAATTCTAGGGATCTAACGTATAAGCATGGTATTATAGTTAACACCACTATATTATATACTTGAAAATTACTAAGAGAGTAGATCTTAAGTGTTCTCACCACAAAAAAAAAAAGGCAGTTATGTGAGGTGATGGCAGGGTTAACTAATGCTACTGTGGTAATCATTTCCTAATACATAACTATATCAAATCAACCACTGTACAACTTAAACTTACACGATATTAAATGTCCATTGTATCTCAGTAAAGCCGGAAAGAAAGAAATATTTACCACCCTAGAAAGTTCCCTCCTGCCCCTTTACAGTCAATCCCCTCTCCCATTTACAGCCCCTGGGAACCTCTGATCTACTTTCTTACTAGAGTTTTACCATTCAGTAATTTCATATAAATGAGAGATTGTACAGTATGTACTCTTTTATATCTGACTTCTTTCACTTGACATAATGTGGATGGCTTGGTTCTTTCAGTAAATGCATCTTTAATTTTATAATGAACTGTCCAACTGTTTTCCAAAGTAGCTATAACATTTTGTATTCCCACCAGAACTGTTATGAGAGTTCCCGCTGCTCTACATTCATACATACATTTGGAATTGTTTCAGACCATCCAAGTGATTAAATAAATGGTAGCTCATTATAATTTTAAATTTTTTAGGTCATGAATCAATTTATTGGTCACAAATAGCATTCAAAAATAAAACAGAACAAAATAGAAAACAGGGTGTATTCCATGTAACAAGAAATATTTTTTCATGAAATTTTGCCTCATTTATGTGTGCATGGGAGTGTATACTGAATCACAATATAATTATTATTTCTAACTGTATGTAGAGGTCAAACATTTTGAGAAATACTGGTCTAGGGGATCAAATGTTATTTTTAGGGTTAAATGTTTAAAATATTTATACACTGACATGAAAATTGTAGTTTATCCCTGGTCGAAGCATGGCAAGACTCACACAGATAAAGCGGAGTAAAAAGTATTACAGGGCTTCCCTGGCGGCGCAGTGGTTGAGAGTCCGCCTGCCGATGAAGGGGATATGGGTTCGTGCCCCGGTCCGGGAGGATCCCACGTGCCGTGGCGTGGCTGGGCCCGTGAGCCATGGCCGCTGAGCCTGCGCGTCCGGAGCCTGTGCTCTGCAGCGGGAGAGGCCACAGCAGTGAGAGGCCCGCGTACCGCAAGAGTGTAAATGGGACATCTGCTACTCACCTTTAGCCCATTGTTCCATGTAGGTAGGGCCTGATGTTGCTTCATTTTCTGATTTTTTAAAAAATTTTTATTTGTCTTATTATTTATTTTCCTTATTTTTTTGGCTGCGTCGGGTCTTAGTTGCGGCACATGGGATCTTCGTTGAGGCATGCGGGCTTCTCTCTAGTTGCGGCGGGCAGGTTTTTCTCTCTCTAGTTGTGGTGCGCGGGCTCCAGGGCAAGTGGGCTCTGAAGTTGTGGTGCTCGGGCTCCACAGCGCGTGGGCTCTGTAGTTTGCGGCACGCAGGCTTAGTTGCCCTGCGGCATATGGGATCTTAGTTCCCCGACCAGCGATGGAACGCAAGTCCCCTGTGTTGGATGGCAGATTCTTTACCACGGGACCACCAGGGAAGTCCCCAGACCTAATACTCTTGAAGAAATAGAATACATTCTATTTCTACATTCTACACCAACATCTTTTGTCTTGAAACTTGTAGCACTTTCCTCTAAGTTCCGTTTCTTCTTTTTTAAAACCTTCATAAACTGATTACTGGATTTGAAGTCAAACCTGCATCCAGATCCCAAATCCACCATTCCCTATGTGTATCATTGTAATTTTAATTTGCGTTTCCCTAATCACTAATGAGGTTAAGCATCTTTTAATGTGCTTTTTTGCCATACTGTTTCTTTAGTGAAGTGTCTGTGCAAATCTTTTCCAAATTTTATTCAAGTTATTTGTCTTCTTACTACTGAGTTTAAATTAACAGTTTTAAAAAATATATTCTAGATACAAGTCCTTAATCATATATATTGGGTTGGCCAAAAAGTTCCTTTGGTTTTTAAGTAAAAATAAAAGACACATTTTTCATTTTCACCAAGAACTTTACTTAACAACGTATTCACCCTTTGGTTCCACTACCTTCTGCCATTTTTCAGGCAACTTCATAATTCCATCTTCCCAAACATTTCGTCTTTTTGAGCAAAGAACTGTTCCAGGTGCCTTTTACAGTTTTCCAGGGAACTGAAATTTTTTCCATTGAGAGAATTTTCTAAAGACTGAAGTAAATGGAAATCCGAAGGTGCAATGTCTGGTGAACACGGCGGATGAACCAGAAATTCCCAGCCAAGCCTTAACAGTTTTTGCCTGGTCATCAGAGAAACATGCAGCCTTGCGTGATCCTGATAGAAGATTATACATTTTTTGTTGACTAATTCCAGACTCTTTCGTCGAGTGCTGCTTTCAGTTGGTCTAACTGAGAGCAGTACTTGTTGGAATTAACTGACTGGTTTTCTGGAAGGAGTTCATAATAGAGGACTCCCTTCCAATCCCACCATATACACATCACCACCTTCTTTGGATGAAGACTGGCCTTTGGTGTGGTTGGTGGTGATTCATTTCACTTGCCCCACGATCCCTTCCATTCCACACTATTGAACAGTATACACTTTTCATTGCCTGTCACAATTTGTTTTAAAAACGGAACGTTTTTGTTACATTTAAGTAGAGAATCGCATGTGGAAATATGGTCCAGAAGGTTTTTTTCCACTTTAACTTATGTGGAACCCAAACACTAAAGTGATTAACATAACCAAGCTGATGCAAATGATTTTCAACGCTTGATTTGGATATTTTGAGTATGTTAGCTATCTCCCGCGAGGGATAACATTGTTCTCAATTAATGCCTCGATTGATCACTATCAACTTCAACTGGTCAACCTGATCGTGGAGCATCTTCCAGCAAGAAATCTCAGCACAAAACTTCGCAAACCACGTTTGACACGTTCGTTCAGTCACAGCACCTTCTCCAAACACTGTACAAATCTTTTTGTGCGTTGCAG